ATACATCTTTTAATAGATGAAAACCTTGACTTTCTATTGGTTATAGGTAATATATAATGAAACGTAAGAGAGAACTTTCAACGAATTGTGAAAGATAGGATGTGACAGATGGGTGTGGTAGGAGGGGTCTGATTTTCTATTTAATAGCTCTGTAATTAAACAAAATTGAAGACTATAAAAATTATGGTTTGTTTGAGCAGTAATAATTTTGATTAATTTCGTACATTTTTGATGGGTGATGGATAAAATAGGGATGATGACAAAACGTGTCATGTGGGTCACACTAGTGGAAATTCAAGATTTTTTTTATATTCCCTAGTAGAATTAAGAACTTGTGTACTATTAACATATGGATTATTAGCTGAGATTTTATGCTATTCTAATTGGTATAACATAAACAAAAAGTAGTTTAATAAAATTCTGAATGTAAGATACTAAAACCTTGTCATGGATAGTAAAGGATACTTGGGGCGATAGGGTTAATATTACAATTGTTTAATTTTTATATATTTGCAGAGTATTTACTACCTTGGCCTTGGATGATAACCTTAACCTTGGGGCGATAGTGTTAATATGACAATTGTTTCATTTTTATATATGAGTGGGGAGTATTTACTACTTTGGTTTTCAATGATAACCTTAACTTTTAATGTTTAGTTGCTTATCCTTAGTGTGCATTTTTACTTCCTTTATTAATATGTTGAATATTTTGAAGACACATGTTAAAGTTTCATCTTAAATTACTTCACCAAAGTCGTTATTATAATTTGAGCAAATTAACAATAGCTGAAAGTTAATATACAGTTGCTAATTTTGCAAAATTAGGCAGATTACCTGTTATATTAACCATTTCCCTTTATTTAATCAGAAGATTTCTGTTGCTCTAAGGTTGTAGTTCTATAGTTGTTAAAATGCTGTTTAAAATTTAAAAATTTCAGTACTGTGATTCACTGAGTGTCATTGTACAAATTATTTATGCATTACTTCTTTTAGTCTTGTCAAATTTTTACAGGTATTCTGAAGTGTCTTTTAAATAGCATTTATGTACAGTTTTTATTATGGTAACAGAACTTTTAGCTTCTGAGACAATAACTCGCCACTTCACACAGAAATACTCTTTCTCTTGCATGTCTTCCTTGAGCTAACTCCTACCTTAGTTCACATGTTTAATGTGAACTGCACTGATCCATGATGATGTCATCATGCGACAGTAGCCCTCCATCAATAGGAGGGCAGCACAACCTCCATGCACAGTAACTCCTCCCATGCATCTGCACTCATGATAATTTTATTATTTTCTTTGGCATTACGTTGGACAAATATGTTCAAATTTCTCATCTAAGTTGAATCTGATGGGATTTGCATCCAATAATGAAACTTTGAGTTTTGTTTCAAAATTGTTGATATTGTTATCATGAATTCTCAAATGACTGTTACTTCTTCCTAGTCCTGTGTGAGTGACTGTTGCACACAGAGACTCCTTTTCTATCTGGAGGCTCATTGACCTTTGGGGACATTTCAGCCTTTGTTCAACATGTTGTGGATTCACATGCTTACTTGACCTCCCACTCTTGTTCCTTCAGCTGACTTTCTCCTCAGTTGTGAATGGCATGTTGGTCTTTGAATTGAATCTAATTTGCTTTGGTTAGTGCTTTACCATTAAATGAATTATCTCTTTCTGAATTTCATTCTCATGTGTGTTTCTTTCCTTGTCCTTTAATATTGCCTGTTCTTCATTCCATGAACTCGGTTCTTGGGTTTGATTTGTCTTTCTTCTTTACTTGCTTTTAGGGTTTATATTTCCTTTATCTAACAGCTCCTCACTCACACTCAAATGCCTCATCCTCCTTGCATTCATAACTCTTGTCTTCATTTGCAGGCATTCTTCCTTTCATTTCTAGATTTCCTGTCTTTGGTATCTTTTTTAGCCTGCTTGGGGATTGGGCCTATATCCTTCTATCTTGCTCTCTGATTCCACATTTTCCTGTCTGTCTTTTTCTCACCACCCTCCTGTATTCCCTCTCTTTCCTCTACCCTTTGTCTGAAGCACTTCTTGCTCCAGAGAAGATTTCTGAAGAGGTTCATTCCCCTTCCTTTGCTAGCTTAGCCTATATCACTTTTTCTGCTCTGCCCCTCCTTACTTAGTTCTCCTGCTGTTGGGGCGAGTTGCATTCCTTTTTATTGTACACCTTCCTCCTAATTGTATGTTTTTTGTTGGCCTCACTTTCTTTGCTGACATATTTTTGGTGGCTTTCATTTCTCGCTGGAGACCTGGACTGTAGTTGTACGAGTTCAGTCTTTATCTTCCTTGGTTGTTCTTTCTTGAATTTGTCTTTTGTCTCCTATTCTTCATTTGGATCAGTCTACCTTAACCTCCTCCCATTCCAGGTTTCAGGCCTTTTTCTCTCACTACCTGACATCTGGCTCATCACTGTTCTGGTCAGTAACTTTCCTGTCACATTAGGCCATGTTGATACCTGTCTCTTCCTCTTTGCCAATATTTGGTCTCAGTTTCTGCCAACAGACATTTTTCATTTTCTCTTCCCATTTTCTTTTCCTTCCAACCCCTCTATGGTCTTTTCACACAGTCTGCAGTTGGCCATGGTTAATGTCTTGGACACCTTCCCAAACATCCCTATTGACCTGTCCTCTGTATATTTTCTATTTTACATCTGTCACGTTCAAGTCTTCCAATTCCTTGCTCTTCCCTTTCACATAATGTCAGCCTCTTTTGTATTCACATTTATCATGAGGTCCTTTTCTCACCATCTTCATTGCCTGGGGTTGTCATTCTTATTCTTTGATAATTTGTTACTATTGGCTCATTCTTGGGTAGTATCTTCTGACACCTCCTTTCTTTTGCAGGCTTCTACTCAGTTGGGGGGGTGGCTTGTCAAGATATGAAAGTCCTTTCTCACACCCACTCAATATTTGGTACATCTGGGCATTTTCTTCATCTCTTGTCTCAGCTGAGCTTTGGCTTCTCCTTTTCACCTGCAAACCATGGAGTATCCGGTCACCAGGATTTTCACTTCT